TGGGCCTCCTCCATCTCCTGGTCTCTACAGTCCCACAGAGGGTCCGCTTGCTCCCAGGGTAGGCCCTCCTGTGACTTAAGCAATTCTGTTCTCTAGTCCCTGCCCCACCCCCAACTCCCCATTTCCAACACAGTCACTCCAGAGGGTGCTAGAGCCCTGCTGCCAGTTTGCTTGGATGCAGCTGTGGAAACACACAGGCATCCACATGAGAGCCAGGTACCTTTTAACATATCACAGCAGTAGAAGGGGCTGGCTATCAAAAGCCAGAGAAGAATGGGCTGGTCCAGGAGATGAGGTCAGGGCTCAGGTTTGTTTAGAACAGAACTTCATCAAACACCACATCCATACGCATCCAACTGCCACTCTCTTTGCCAAGATCATTAGCTATCAGTTCATCAAGATCCTTGACTCTTGGCACCTGGTGGGTCAGCACTGGTCTAAGACCAGACAATCAACCTAATGCGACACTGAGAAACTGAACAGCTGCCACCTCCGCCGGCCTGTGTGATGTCATATGAAGAGTGAGCGGTCCCAGGCACGGCTGCAGGTCAAGAGCAAGGAAGTGAGTTCTAGTAGGAAGCATGGGGGGTATTGGGAAGCATTTTTGGTAGCAGATTTACGGAAGTTCCTAGAAAAGAGGGACCTTGAAAGGGAAAGAGAAAAGAGGGGTCTGAGAGGGAGGGTGAGCAGGTGAGCCTGCTGTTCAGAGCAGAGAGAATTCAAGTGGGTAGATAGGACAGTCCAGGGCCAAAGCCTAAACATTGCAAGCCCAGGAGGGTTGGAAGCACCAAAGACTTTCATCCTCCTGGAGAAGTGGATAGGAGCAACTCAGGAGGGAGCGGAGCCTTTGACTGGGCACCTTGAAGTAGTCATGAGGACCTGAAGACAAGGGTTCCAGTGCTGTGCCAGTCAGCATGGGAAGATGCAGCCCCACAGTATGGATACTGCACACCCAGCATTGTTCTTGGAGACCATAGGAATGAAGGCCTCTTAGCAGGGTTGAGACTGACTAAAGAGAGGCCTCTTGGTACTTCTGTGTCAGACCTCAGGCTTCAGAAGCCACCCCACATCCTTACACCTGCCCTGACCACACATTGGGTCTGGCCAGTGTCAGCAGAAGAGACATAAATTAACGTGTTCTAATCTCTTTCCACACAGACAGGGCTGACTGTCCTTGATGCCCTGGGTGTGTGGAGGCCCACAAGGGTGGTATACTAGGGAGAAGTGCCACATATCCATGTGAAGACCCTCTCACTGTCTGTGACTGCCTGAACAGATGCCCCTCAGTCATTGGTGAGGCCACGGCTAGCATCCCAGGCACCTTAGGGTGGTAGTCCTGAAGTTACTCTGGCTCCACCCCCCAGGGCCAGTACTTTTCTCAGTACTCCTGAACCACCTTTAGCCCTCCCTCTGCTGCAGCGGTGGGATCCGACACTAGAGGGCATAGGAGAGAGGGGTGCCCAATTTTGCTCTTTTGGTGAGTTGGTAGCTCCTCCCTGCGGTCCTCTCCCAAGCCCAGAGCACAGTCCCAGGCGGTACCCCACCGGCTCTAGGAGTCAGCTCTGGGAATCATTCACCGCCAGGGCCCTGGTACATCATCTCTTTCCTTTCATCCCCAGCCTGGAGGGTGTTATCAGGAACTTTGACAGCTGTTATTTTTTTGTCCTTTGGGCTTCCTAGCCAGTGAAAGCACCCCCACCCACTCCCAGACAAGAATCCTGCTTGCCAGGTCATCATCGGGACAGCTTGGAAAGTGCTGTGGGTTGGGGGTGCTAAGCTAAGGAAAGGTCTGGGGCCTTCAGGAAGAGTGGGCAAGGCCAGACCAGGGGCAGTAGCCATTTCCTAGAGCTGCCCTAGCCAACCGCTTCAAGAACGGGGTCTTGAAGGCTCCCCTGGCTCCCTTGTGCTGTAGACAGCGTCCAGGTCCTGCTGGTATTTGCAAGTCACTATGAGAACCCCTCCTTCACCTCTAACTCTCGGGTTGGGCCACTACCGAAGGACACCTCCTCCACCACAGGTGGATCACCGATCCTCCCCACTGACATAAGTTCTATTCACCCATCTGGTAGGTAGGAGAGACAGGACCGGGAAGCCAGACAGAGTTAGCTACCTTCACAGCCTTTGGGCAGGACATGGTCACCAGCCACACAGCAGGTACACAACAAATATGTGTATAATTAAGTGAAGTGCCGAATGGCAAACTCCAGCTTTCCAACCGGAGCTAAGTTTGCGTGTAAGTAAAAGTGTCCGCAGTCTTTTGGTTAGACATTTTCTTCAAGACCAGGAGGTGGCGATCCTCCCTACAGCTGCACCTAGGAAGCCCCGGAGGATCGCGACTACGCAGCAGGACTGGAAGTCCTTCGGACGCCCAGGGAGTTTTCTTTGGCTCAACCTAGAGAGCCCTGGGGCTTAGGAGGAGCTCTGGCTAACTCCCGGGAAGGCCAGCGGTTCGCAGGCAAGGAAGAAGCAGTTAGGCCCTCTAGCCTGGCCCGCTGCGCTGGGGAAGGAGGACTTGGTACTGAGTCTTCCTTGGGGTGGGAAGCGTCCCAAGTGCGCTAGACCTCAGGGAACACGTGCACACACCTCGGGCGCCGCAACTCCCCGCAGCCCTCACTCACCCGCACTCTAGTCTCACCGCACCCTGAGTCTCCGGTCCCTCTAGAGCTACTTAGTGTGCGTCCAGAGAGACAAGGATCCCACTCCTGGCTCTGCGGGTTCCGGACGCAGTCGGATGAGCCCGGAGGGGTACACAGATCCAAGGTCGCTAGGGCCGAGCGGCTACCGCAGATGTTTCATTCCTGGGATTTAAAGAGGCCCCAGCGGGCTGGTGAGGACGCCAGGGAGCGGCGCGGTGGCGTTCCTCCGATCTCCGGCCCCCGAGGCGGGGATCCTGGGAGATGACAGAGCACACCTGCCGAGTCTCCGGGTGCGCCTCTCCGAACTCGGACTACTCCTCCGAGTCTGTTCTGCTGCAGCGCCGTCCGGTGTCTGCTCCGGAACAGAGCTGGGGTTTAGAGGAGAGGGTCCGCACCTCCCACTCGGGCCGCCCAGCCTTCTCCAGCCCCGCCCCCAAGCTCACTGCTCTGGGTTGAGTTTCTCTAGAGTAGGAGCCCTCCACCTCCTTCGTGGTCTCTCGCGAGGCCAGGAGAGTCCAAACCTTACCAAGGACCGTCCTCCCGATGACCAGACTCTTGGAGTACACGTGACCGTGTTTTCTCAGAGGAAGTGGGAGGAGAGGTCAAGGGCAGGTCTCCCGGCCTAAGGGACTGGGTGCCACCAACAGGGCTGAGGTCCCTAGTGCTGGGCGCTCCACCTGGGACCTAAGCCTACTTAGCTCAGGCTGATCGCTGCCAGGTGGCCGCGCCCAACCGAGTGCAAACCCAGCTCAGGAAGACAGTGCACCAGAAACCTCTAGGCGCTGGGGGCCACAGCATGGGCGGTTGACGATTCCACGGGCCAGGTCTGTCAGGTGCTAGGCCATGCACAAGTCAGAGGCGACCACAGAGGTCATGTCCAGTTCCAGCCACAAGTGACTTTTCAATCTTTGACCGGATGGAGACTGGTGGCCCCAGGTCCCTGACGCTAACTGCGAAAAAACGAAAATAGACCCCTAAGAGGGGCAGTTGGAACGAACTCTAGGCCTCTACACTGAGTCACTAAGGTCACTTTCTTCCGTGACATAAAAACCCCAAAGACCAGGGCAAAGGGAGGGAATCGTTATTAACGAACTTCCCCACAGAGGCAACACTGCTTTCGCCTAGATCCCCAAGACTTCAGAAACAGCCATGTCCTTTGCACAGGTCGGATCTCTCTGCTCGGCAGGCAACGAGTAACAGTCACTACACGAGAGTAACAAGCGGCACCACCCAAGAGGACGAGTGCCAGCGCGCGCTGCCTTTTCAGGGCCTGCCTTGAGCGGCTCCATCCCGTTGCAATCTCAGAGAACAACCCAGCAATTCGATGTGTGCGAGGCGCTCTGTGCCCAGAAGAGGAATTAGGGCCAAGCGGGCCCCCAGGCGGGTCCTGAAACTTGTGTTCTGCCCGCTAGACTTCAAACGCGCGCTTATCTTAAGGCCCTGAACCTGGTGTACTTTGCGTCCTGAGCTTTGAATTCCGAGGCCGCTGCGTTCCGGTGGTCCCGCCACCTGGGCCCGCCATTCGCAAGAGAACCGCCAGTGGGCGAATCCTAGTCTGGGTCCCAAAGCCGGGCTCAGGTAACCTCCAGGTAACACCTAACAGGAGATTCCCGGGTTTTCCAACTGGAAACCCACAACAGGGAAGCCCGACCCAGCGTTAGGGAGCTCGGAACCACCTTGCGGGGCAGCGTGAGCTATTAGGAGCTGGTACGTGTAGTGCCGCTGCCACCAGTCTTGCCCCTACATCGCCCGGGCTGTCTGTAGACTTATTTTGACCGATTTGAGCGGGCCAATCTGATTAGCTGTGGGGCCAGTGGACCCCGAGTCGCTGCCTCCTCTGCCGGTTTAGCAGCAAGGACCCCAAGGAACTTGTTCCCCGAAAGCGTACACACCAGCCCGCACCAACACCGCCTGGGAAGGCTGCAGAGTCGCAGTGCCCGGAATGGGCACGGTCCCGGCGCCCCCCGACCCCGGGCGTCCAGTCGTCCAGCTGTCCCAGGCTTTTCCCTGAGCTGGGCGCGCGGAGCTTGCGGGGTGGAGCCTCAAATCTACATTCATTCGATCGATAAAATATGTTCTCGTATTTTTTCCTGATTTCCCATTAAAATCTTTGCCTAACTAAATTCCCATCCAAAGGGATTTATTTCTTCCCTGGGGAGATAAATCAGGGGGCAAATTTACAGCCCCGGAGGCACCTGCCGCGCTAATGGGCCCTTCATGGAGTGCACGGCCGGCGGGGGCGCGCGCAGACGGGGGCGGGGCACTGGCCAATGGCCGGACGGCCAGTGCCTACAGCCAATCAGCGGGCGCGCCGCGCCCAGGCCCCGCGGTTATCAGCGCGTCCATCCCGCGCGGCGCAGCTCCGATCGGCCCCGGAGCAGCCGCCGCGGGTGCCCGTGCCCCCATACCCCTTTCGTCTCTCTGACCGCCGCCCATTCTGCGCGGGAGCCGTCCTTCCGTTCTCCTTCCCGCGGGGGCCGTCGGCGTCCGTCTGCGCGCGTTTCGCGTCCCCCGCCGCAGCCTGCGCCCGTCGGCGCCGCGCGCAAACTTCCCCAGCCGGCGGGTGCGGGCGGCTGCAGCGGGGCCCGGATGGGCGCCCGGGCCGGTGGCGGCGGCGCCCATGGACGCTAACCGCCCGGGCGCTTTCGTGCTGAGCAGCGCGCCGCTGGCTGCGCTGCACAACATGGCTGAGATGAAGACGTCGCTCTTCCCGTACGCGCTGCAGGGTCCGGCCGGCTTCAAGGCGCCGGCGCTAGGCAGCCTCGGCGCGCAGTTGCCTCTCGGCACTCCGCACGGGATTAGCGACATCCTGGGGCGGCCGGTGGGCGCGGCAGGTGGCGGCCTCTTAGGAGGCCTGCCCCGCCTCAATGGGCTCGCCTCGTCTGCCGGAGTCTACTTTGGGCCGGCGGCCGCCGTAGCGCGCGGCTACCCCAAGCCGCTGGCCGAATTGCCGGGGCGCCCGCCCATCTTCTGGCCCGGGGTGGTGCAGGGCTCTCCTTGGAGGGACCCGCGCCTGGCCGGCCCGGGTAAGTGGCCCCCGCGGGCTGCGGAGCGGGGCTGGGCGCAGGCTGCGGACTGCGCTCATGGACTCTTATTTGCAGCCCAAGCCGGCGGGGTCCTGGACAAGGACGGCAAGAAGAAGCACTCGCGGCCGACCTTCTCTGGGCAGCAGATCTTCGCGCTGGAGAAGACCTTCGAGCAGACCAAGTACCTGGCAGGCCCAGAGCGCGCGCGACTTGCCTACTCTCTGGGCATGACGGAGAGCCAGGTGAAGGTGAGCGCGAATGGGCCGGGCGCAGCCGTACTAAGGCGGGCCCTGAAGCCCGCGTCCTGCGAAGGGGCGAGCGGCGATCGGGCCCAGGTCCGGCCGCGGAAAGCACCGGTGCTGGCGGGTCTGAAGCGCGTGCTGGTCGGGTGCAGCGAGCCTGTGTGCCCGCTTGATGGTCCCTCTCCAACCCCCCCAGGTGTGGTTCCAGAATCGCCGGACCAAGTGGCGCAAGAGGCACGCGGCAGAGATGGCGTCGGCCAAAAAGAAACAAGACTCGGATGCCGAGAAGCTGAAGGTGGGTGGCTCGGACGCGGAAGACGACGATGAATACAACCGACCCCTGGACCCCAACTCGGACGACGAGAAGATCACGCGGCTTCTCAAAAAGCACAAACCATCGAACTTGGCGTTGGTCAGCCCGTGTGGCGGCAGCGCGGGGGACGCCTTGTGAAGATGCGGCCAGGCGGGAGAACCAGGGCACCCGGGCGCGCGGCATGCCCCGACGCCAGCCGCCTGGCCGCAGTGTGTATATATATTTTTACAGAATAAGTTATAAAGCGGACGCTGGCACGGTCTCGGCATGAGGCGCGGAGTGCGGGGTTCGGGCAGATCACTTTGTTATAATCAATAAATTATTTAACACGTCCCGGTCGGAGCCGTGGCTCCCGTGGCTTGCACATCGTGTTTTTTTCCATACGGAGCCGGCCCCAGCGGGCGGGCAGGCTGCTGGACCATCCCGATCTCACCCAGCCTGTCCTCCGAGGGTGCCAGTGCAGGCACAGGGGGTCGCGACGGGTCGTGATGGCGACCTGGGGCCCCACGTGCATGTTCAGGTCAGAGGCTGCTGGCCCCAGAGCGGTTGGTGGCGGTTGCCTGCAGGAGCTCGGAGATGGTGAGACTGAACGTCTGGAGGACGGCGGAAGGAAGGCAGCTTCCACCGCCCCGTAAGGGAAGGACACCGCAGCGCGGTACTAGGAGCCAGACCTAACGGAGCTCGGCAGGCGTACCCCCAAAGCAGGTATGGCTTCCTTTTCCGTGGCTTAAGACTGGCACCTCCTGCACCCAGGACCGGCTGTGCACAACAAGGGCACTCATTGTTCAAATGAAGGAAGCTGGGGCAAACATAAAAACACACGAGTGGCCCCAAAAGGCCAACAAGACGAGTGCCCGTTCTGGGCAGCCGGCACCCTCCCGGTACCTTCCCTTTTTGCAACCCTGAATGCCCTTGTCCCTCAGACCTGGGCCTGCTTCAAGCCAAGCTGGTGCGCCTCAGAGTGGGCTGCCTTACAGGTATTTTGAAGTAATTACCTTGAAACTTTGTTTCTGCAGAATTCCAAATATTTCCAGATGTAGCTGCCGACCTCCCATCGGGTCATTTGGCCTGAGGGTCTGTGCCCTGACCCTAGGCTGTGCTTTAGACGTTTCCTTGGGCGAAAGCACCGTGTTAAGCTAAGGCTGCAGAGATTCTGTGTGAAGCCTGACCGAGGAACAGCTTACAGCTTCAGTCCTGTGCCAGAAACCCTGACCCAGAGGGCTGGCTTCTCAGAGGGTGGGCAGGAGGGCCCCCAGCCAGGGTCACTCTTACGTGCAGCTCAACTCTCCATCCTGGCCAGTGACTCAGGCCCCGGGAAGAGCTGGGAGCCCTTTCCCCAGGGGTGCAAATCCCCATGGCAAAAACCCATCCTCAGCTTCAGACCGCCTACCCTGTACTCCGTGGCTGCTCTTTAATGCATGGAAATGTGGAATTTTCAAACATCCTGAGTTAATTTTCTTATGACAAGATTTCTCTAGTAAGGCATTTAAAAAATATTTATGAGGACCATGAAAAGCTCGTTTTGTTTTGCTTTTTGCCCCGCTGCTGCTTTCGAGCCAATGATTTTAAAAGGGAGCAAGATTTTTTTAAAGCAGTGTTGTGAACAAATCATTACCTCAGCCTGAATTCAGAGCAGAGGAATTTTGTTGAAGGTTTTGTGGGAAGCAAAGCATTTGTATAATTCCAGTTAAGATAGTGAAGGACCAGTCTTTTTTTGACTACAGTAAAAAGTCCAAAAGATGATTTTTCTTATGGCTAGGTGACTGCTGACAGCACTCCCCACACTCTGTAAGATTCCAGGATTCAAAGTGAGTTAGGCACAAAGAAGGCCACTCCCCACTCCCGCACTCAGCATTTCAAAGGCATGAGAGAAACAAGGAAGCAAAGCAGCAGAAACTGTTTTCACCAGATCAATTTTATTGCTTAGGAACCCAGCAGTCACTTCCAAAGGCCTTCAGAGGAAGGACCCACAGCTGGAACCCACAACTGCTGCAGACACGGCACGTTGGCACGCAGCGACCACGGCACTCACAGACCGGACCCCTGGGATCAAGGACGCAGCAGGTCGGCCTTCAGTGATTTCTAGGGAAACCAACATGAACTCATGCCTCTGCCCTCTCCAGGAGCTGTAGTGTTCAGAAATCAATAAAAGCACGCTGTGTTTCCTCAGCAGGCTCTGCAGGCACCTTCCGTGGTACTCAGTGCTGGGTGCAAGTACTGGCAACAGGCTGCGCCCGGCTTCCCTCCTGTTGCTTTCCCGCCACGTTTACACACAGCCCATGCTAGAAGCGATCTGTGGGAAGTGGACAAGGCTACTTCTAATTCTCCCACGAGATTATGGTTTTAATGTAGGATACTTGGCACCATAAAACGGTAACAAAAGACAGACAAAACAGTTTACAAAATTCTTAAAAGGTACACCCAGGCTAGCTATAAACTTCACATTCAGTTCTTAATATTACACAGAAAAAGGCAAAGGAGTGACAAGCTGCTAGGACATGCGTGCCGCAGGGGCCCCTTGCCCTGGGCACTACTAGGTCTGTCTCAGGAACCTGTGCTGATGGATGCTCCACTCAACTAGACTGTGGTTCTGCCTGCTTAGGACACTCCTGCACTCATACTGGAAAGTATATTCAGCGTAAGTTTTGGTAAGATTTATAAATTATTTTTAAAAAGTATATATTTATATGTATTTATATATATAAAAATGGAAAGCAGCTGCAATGTGATTCAGACGCCACGTAACATGGCAGTAGAGTCGGACCTCGGGCCTCGGTGTGAGCACACTCGGCAGTGTGCTGCCTGGGTTAATGCCTGGCACACGCCTCCTGGCAGAGAGGGACGCTGGACACCTAGGGCTCTAACTGGAGAAACTCCTCCACAGACAATCGTTAAAAATGGAAAACTGTGAAGTCTAAAATACAGGCTCTCTGCTGTCTATTAGAGTTTTGGCAATAGGACTGTGACTTAATTAAAAAAACCCAATATGTCTACTTAATGTCACACGAACAGACACGACAGTGAGGTATGTGAGGCTTTCCGGAGGTCCGGAGGCTGAAGCAAAGTGTGCGGCCGGCCGTCTAGCAGGTGATGCTTGGGCGGGTTCCGATGCAGCTGTCAGGATGATGAGTTTGATACACTGCTACAGGGAGGTCTCCCAAGGGTCCTCTCATGGCGCTGGCACCTCTTCCCTGGAATAGAATTAGTAATTTGTTAAAGGAACAAACACACCAGGAAAGCTTCAGGAAGGAGAAGGAGGAGCCATATTTACCACCACGTCACTGCACGACACAACACTTGTGCACATGGGCGTGAGGTTTACCTGCCCCAGGTGCAATTCGGAAGGCCAGGAACACGGGCTGCAGTGGGAGAAAAGAGGGAAGTTAGCATGCACAGGCTGCCACCTCCCCGAGACTCCGGGCCCTCACATCTCCCCAGCAGCTGGAACTGAGTCTGGAGATGATGGCCAGTCTTGTGTACACAGCATGGGCTGAACCAGCCAGCCTGGACCTGGAGCTGGGCTGTGAAAGAACCCACAACATCCTGCTGTGTTTGCAAGGAAGGCGGAATCAGTGTAAGAAACCACTGAGTAAGTTCTAAAGGCATGAGGAAGTATGGACCCCCATCCTTGGTGTGCACAGTGGCCCTGGCTCAGAGGCCTTGGATATGGAAAATTTGTCTAATTTGGCTGAGATTTGTCACCTGGCCTGAGTGCCACCGGAAATTGTTGGCCACTCTTAGTTCAGGGGTGGTCATATAAGGAAAGTCTGTGCAGACGGTCAGAGGTTATCCTGAGCACACATCGTCTATAGGACTTGTATTTACCACACTCTGCCTGATAAACATGAGCTCATCATAGGAAGGCCAGGAGAAAAGTCCCAAAGCATCTGAGAGAACTGGTCTTCAAACATAACTAGCTGAAGACACAATGTTTTTACACATAGTGAAATTATTTTCTTCTATTGTGACTAATCATTTCTACCTTCTCTCTGCCTATCTACCAATCTATCCATCTTTTGATAGTTTATTAAAATTAAATAAACGCAGACCAACCTGCCCTGCTTGGCAAAGCCAGGCTAAGGAGGTAAGAGATTCTGCCCAACCTCCATCCACCCACCGGTGTTCAGCCCCCAGGCCCCAGTACCGGTACAACGCATGTCACCTTGTGGTCTCCCATGCAGACATTAGGCCCAATGTGGTCATAGGTAGCAACTTTCTCCTCGCTCTCTGACTGGAAACAAAGAGAAAGGGGGTTATAGGGAGGCTGGGACACTCTGCAGTCCTGCCAGGAGGTGACAGGCAGGGGCTTCAGGGTGTCTTGGGGAGCAGAGAGGTAGGAGGGGTTGTTGTAGGAAGGCCCAGGGTCTTGCTACACCTCAGTGTGTGGCTGGCTCTTCTGCTGAGAGGGATCCTATTTCCAGAGGGAGAAAGCAGGATAGCTTTGGGATGGGGACTCCCCCAAGTCTCCTCTGCCTGTCTCTGGCATGTGCCCCTGGACACTGGCAGACACAGAACCTCTGGTCTTGCAATCAGTGCCACTTTGAACTTCCTTTTTAAGGGCGTGTCCTTGGCTGAGCAGCTCATCTCCTTCCCATTCCCCTCTTTACACTTGCTCTGCCAGCCTGCTCTATTAACCTGGAGCGTGTTGCATGCCACGTGTGCATATTAATTAACTGCTCCACACACTTCCTGGCAGACTCTTCTTTTTGGGTGCAATAGTAGAGGTTTTGTTGCTGCTAATCAGCCGGCTCTGACCAGGCTAGCATTTTATATCCACAGCCAAAGCATCCGAGACGATAAAGTTAAAACTGAATTATCTTTAATGCAGTAGGAAGCTTAAGGTCAGATTTACTTTCCAGCATGGTCGCCTGCCAGAAAATATGAAAACACAGTCTTCTGCACTGCATGCGTGAACACTTGCCCATCTTTCAGGAGCATGCAGCCGCCTCCTCAGAAGTGGGGAAACATCCATCAAAGCCCCATGGTAATTTACAAAGGTGGCATAAAATTGTGGGTTTTCAGCTGCATAATCTTTGGACAGATAAACAAATTACAGCTGGGCATGGGCGGGATGCATGCACACCTCACTGAGCATTTGTCACCGAGGCTCCCAGGCAGCGTGAGGCCTGGCGTTTTAGGGCTCTGGAGGCGGAACGCAGCATGATGAGAGGGCACCAGAGCATGTTGTGATGGATGGCACCAGAGAGGCGGCCTGTGGCACCGGGGAGGTAGCTCATTGTGAAGGCAGCTCTTAGCACAGTCTGCCCACCCTGTAATGCCCACTGGGAAGTCCTGCAAGCAGGACTCCCCTCCCCAACCCCTTAAGGGCTTCATTTTCAGCTTAGATGAACAAGAGCGCTCACTCTTCCACTGTAGCTTTGACGTCTGAATCCTGGGTGTGGAGACCCAGAGATGTGAATGCTTGTAAAACAGGTTCAACTGCTGCTGCCTTCCTCCGGCTTGAGCATACCCTCCCGCATGGAGCCCCTCTGGCTTCCAGCAGCTCTGCCCACCAACCCAAGTGAACCCTGTCCAAGGATCTCACCACAAGGTGCACTTTTTGTGACTTTGTTTTCCTGTTAGGTGACATCAACTTCTTCTGTCCACCTCAGGGAGTGAGGATGCCCACCATAGGACACAGGATGAGTCCACTGTCTACCTAACTCTTGCATTTCCATCTCCAGGGAGGCTATGAGTAGACCCAGTTCATAGACAACGCAATTTCAAGTTCCCGAGCTGCTTTTCCTCAGAGATGACCTAGGTCATAGGGCATCACAGTGGGCCACCAGTCGGTCTTGTCCATGAGACTAGAAGGTAGGGTTGTGTGCCAAGGCTGCCTCAGCCAGCACCCTACCCCCCCCCCAAGCTCTTGTAGACCCCAAGGGGTTTCTGGCTATTCCAGGGTTCCTGTCTCCAAGT